ATTTTAACTTGGTTTTTGATGAATAGTTCATGGAAGCACGTAAAGGTAGCAACTTTATGTTGCTAATGAACCATAGGGACCCTGATCTAGTGTTTGGAGTAAGGGAGTGGCTCTGTGACTCGAGATTATGGAACTTCACGTTGGACTCGGTGAGTCTAGGAGATGACTCGGCGAGTCGGACTAGAGATTATGCATGAGTCGCCTAGTAACTCGGCGAGTCACATTGGTGTACTCGACGAGTTGCATGAAGATAGGCAGGAACTCGATGAGCTGGAAGAACAACTCGACGAGTCTGTTGAAGATTGCCTTGGACTCGGCGAGTCTGGTCATGGAACCCTCACCATTTCTGGTTGAGTCGTGAATCGACGAGTCTTGGGGTGAGTCGGCGAGTTGAGTCGCGATGATATGGGAGTTTTCAGAGCATAGGGACTCGACGAGTCAGCGGGTTGACTCGGCAAGTAGAGTCAGTCAGGGAGTTTGACTTTGACTTTGACCAAGAGTTAACCAGTTGACTTCCAAGGGTATTTTGGTAATTATGGGTATTTATTGAATTCAGTCATTTGGTATTGATCAGTGGTGGAGTTCTTGTCGGAGGTTGGAGCAGCGTGATCTTATCTCTTCAGTTAGCAGTTGCGAGGTGAGTTATCCTCACTATATCGACAGGGTCTAAGGCACTAAGGCCGGCCCTTTATCGGATGGAAATCCGGGTAGTTGTTACGTTATTGCTTTGCTATATGTTTGCATCCTGGTAGTTAGGATGGTATAAGTTAGAGACCTGATTAAGGTCGGTATCCTGGTTTATAGGATGATGCTATGTTAGTGACCGGTTAGGTCGGTACCCTGGTTAGAGTATGTTATGTATGTGATCTGCTAGATCGGTTGATTAGTGATGAATTTCTATATGATTATATGTTTATGTGCGCATGGTTGGTTGACTGGGGTTGGGTTGAGGCGGGTCCTGCTTTGTGCTGTAGGCCAACATACCCAGGGCGCACAAGATATTCTGAAGGCCCAGCGAGCGGTCCGGATAGGTTGTAGGCCCCACGAGGGCAGACAAGACGTGCCGAATTAATACTTATGATGTAGTTCTGGGAAATACTCTGATAATAAATGAATTGAAAACCTTTTTGTAACGAATTAATGAAAATGGGTTGTTTTTGAAAAGTTTAAATTGGTTGAAAATTTTTGGATGTTACATTCTAGCATCAAAATCAACTCAAAGGTTGGTGTTTTATAGACATGCATGTCCAATGCATGTCTTGAACCCAAAATGGGTCAAAAAGGGGAAATATGACCTAAACTCCATGCATGACATCAAAACTTGGCTAAAGACCAGATCCAAGCCACTACAAGATCACCTTGACATGGAAATTTATAAAGTTGCAAACTTTATGAGGTCCATCCATTGCAACATCCAAGAATAAGGAGAAAAAGGGACAAAACTCAAGATCTAGCTACATAGAGGAATAAAAATCGGATCTTGGACACTTAGAAAGGTCTAGAAGAGTGTCAAAGTGAAGATGAAAGCTTTGATTGCTAGATCTTTTCTTCCTTCTTCCAACTTTCTTCTTCTTTTTCTCCAAAATACCACACTAGCTCACAAATGAGAGGGAAAGATGATTAGGGTTCACAAGGGCCAATATGGGGGTTTGGAGGTTGATAAAAGATCAACCCTAGGGACTTAAGGAGAGTAAATAAGGTGCAAAACCCTACAATTCAGGGTTTTTCATCTAGCTGCCAATACGCCGAGTTTCCCCTCACCAACATGTCGTGTTGGTCCATATAAATACGTGACCCAAAAGTCCTTCAACACGCCGTGTTCCAATGGAAAAACATGCTTAAAGAAATAAATCACATACCTGGGAATCGGTATGTTAGACATCTTGCACAAAAACTCATAGTCACTACTTTCCCACTTCATCATTTGTAACTTAATATTACAAAAATCAAAACACACGATTACAAAAAGAAGAACAACCGATTAAGAAAGCAGAACAAACTATTACATAAATCAAAAGTCGATTAATAAGCGATTACCGACTATACCATCGATTGCATTTTTACAGAACATCGGAAGTCTATTTTAGAAGTCGATTTCAGAATCAGAGGTTAATTACAAATATCATAAATCCAAAAATCAAATGTCGCTTACAAAAACGATAGATTAAAAAAAGGAATTAGAAGTCAATTGCATATTTGCGGCATAACATAAATCTATTTTAGAACTCGGTTTCAGAATTCTATTTCAGAATGAGAGGTCGATTACAAAAAGCATAAACAATAATCAGAGGTTGATTATAAAATGATACATTAACAAAAGAAATTAGAAGTCAATTGCATATTTGCAGAACATCAGAAGTCTATTGGAGTCGATTTTAATCAAGGTTCTAAATAACGTAAGACGTGGATTGGCGGCAATGTCAAGCCTCAAGCTTTTCTGAGCCTTGGCGAGCCACGTCGTTTGTAAGGCGTGACATAAAGCGACAATTTTGTATATAACTCATATTTTTATATGTATTTTCAACTATTATTTATTTTTATACACATATATAAGTAAAGACGGTGTTTTGGTAAAACTTGACGGCACATACAAGCCTTGGAGTCATGACGTGTCATGGCAGAGCCATGACGAGCTTTATAGAACCTTGATTTGTAATACATAACACACAATTGGAGTCGATTTCAAAGATTCTAAAGTTGATTATATTAGAATGTTAGAAAAAAAAACTGATTATGAATTGTGGTTTGTCGATCTCTCGATTGCAACCCTTTTCTTCTTGTTCTTGAATCTTGATTGAGGCCATTTTCTTCTTGCTCTTGGGTCTTGATTGTAGAATATCGATTTCACAATCGATTTCAAATATTATAGAGTCGATTATATTGGGACTTAGGAGTCGACTGCAATCAGCTTTGGATTAGGAACTGAAATGAGAAGTTGAAGTGGAACGTCTAACAGCCTAAGTGTCTAACTCCTCAACTTCTGCATGTGTAGCTTGATAATTGATAAAGGTATTATAATTTTATAACTTATAGTTTATAAATAATAAATTTATATTTCAAAATTAGACGGAACGGTCATAAATGGATCAGATCATCCATATCTGACCCTTTTAATAAAAGGGTTAACGGGTAAATATCGTTAATGGGTAAACGGATAGTAAAATATGTTCTAAACTCATTAATTTTATATGAGTTTGAAACGAAACGAACCAAGATCAAAATTCACTCAGGTCTATTAACAAGAAGTGTAACAAACACTTAAATACACTGCCTACTCTTGTTACCCCATCCTTTAGTATTGTACTTTAGGTTTATTATTTGTTGTATTTGATTCATCTAGAACTTCTGGTTACGTTTTTTCTTTTAATTCTTATTAAATCAATAATGCATCTAATCATTACAATCCATTTCATTAATATATAGCCCAAATTGCTTCTTACCTTCACATAATAAAATCGTTTTTTATTTTAACCCCCACCCGCCATATATATATATATATATATATATATATATATATATATATATATATATATATATATATATATATATATATATATATATATATATATATATATATATATATATATCGTTTTTCATTTTAACACCTCCCCCACACACACACATATATATATATATATATATATATATATATATATATATATATATATATATATATATATATATATATATATATATGTGTGTGTGTGTGGGTGGTGAGGGGATATGTAAAATGCATAAAAGTTTTTAGAACCAAATTGATCTGATGGTTGAATAGGTTGACTTGTGATCTGGTCAAAAATTAACTTTTAAAATATTAGGTTTAACTATAAAAATATTTTTTTTTTAGTTTCCTCCTTCACCAATTGTATTTTTTTCATTAATAAGTTGCAAAAAAACAAATGTAAGATTTTTTTTGGTTAAAGGTGGTTTCAAAAAATAAAACTTTGATTAAATTGAGAAGAAAAAATTACTTGAGTGATTAAACTGTATAAATTATAAATTATAGTGGGTTTTTATAGTATTTAAAGTTTTATGCAGTTATTTTGTTTGTAAAAAAACAAATTCACAATAATTTAAATAGAAAATAATTCTTTCAAATTTGATCATACGATTTAACTATATTCAGGACTATTTTTAATAGTTGACTTCAATAAAAATGGCATAGCTAAACCTACATTTTAAACATTATCTTCCATGACCAAAACTCCAACAGGATTTGTAACATAATAGTATTAGGAATTGATGGAAATATGACCCCCAACTAACTTTAATTCGATAGATAAGTGTGTGATATGGTATTATGTATTAAAGATGTCGAATGCCAAAAAGAATGTTACGTATTCGATTATGTTCACCATGCTTTAGTATATTTAGATGAATCGGAATTTGGTAGAATTCGGTCAAAGAAGATACCAAAATCTCTTCAATAATGTAATAGTCATCTTGTATAATTGGTTATTGTTTACATTCCGTAAATTTAAAGTTAGCTAGATGTCATGATTGTGAAACCCATTGATGCCAATAACTATGTAATTTTATGTGTTCTAGCTTCACGTTAGTTTTCTAATAACATCTGCTTATCAATCAATTATTTAATTAGACAATATTTTAATCAAAAATACCAAATCGTACTTTTTATATATCATTTTCTAATAAAAGTAAGGTCGCGATAATCCACAACTCATGTTTCTTAACATAAACATTATATTTCTTGTTCCGAAAATATGGTTTACTTTTCTATGTTGTTCAAAACACATTGGTGGAAACAATATGACATTATAATTTTATATATTTTTCTTAAAAAAATAATAATATATATGGTTTCATGCCATGTGCCTCTTTTCATTTGTTTTGTTTAACCACAATGCCATGTGATGTGTTCATCATGTAATGTATTTTTATTTTATACTCGAAAGATATAAAATTATGTGACTAATAGCATAATAGCAATACAATGTATGGTTTATAAATATTTTTGTTAAAGAGTAAAAGAATGCAACTTTAAAAATTAGTGAAACTATATAATTGACAATCACAAATTAGAATGTATGGTTTATAATTGACAATACAATGTATGGTTTATAAATATTTTTGTATCTTTGAGATTAATTAGTAGAATTTTCGTTGATCAAATGTGTAGTGAAATCCCACAACTTCTTTCCCAATTCTTCATCATTAGCTTCTTTACTTGCTTCCTCTAAATTACAATCACCAAAATACTTGCCACTCATCCCCTCCACTTGCGGATGCAATGCCACGTAGCATGTAGTTGCTGCTCCCTTTAAAAATATAAATAACAACAAACAATCATATATCATATAAAATGAACACTCTTGACTTTCAAATTTCACAAATAATCACCTGTTGCACAGTTTTAAGCACCAATTTTCCAAACACGTTAGTAAGTCCTGCATGAATACCCACAAACAATAACTATTTATACATAAATTCATTATATATTTAAAAGAAAAAATGTTTTTTAGTGTAATTTGGTCACCTCTAAAAAAGGTGTGATGGCGGAAGATATTGGTGGGAATTGCTCCGGGATGAACCGAGTTTGCAGTTATGGGTGCTTCATCTTCATCTTCATCTTCCTGCTTGTGAAACCCTAATTCTCATTATCGATTATTATATTATACCAATTTTAGAAATTGGAGAACAGGTAATCGGTTGCCTAGAGTACCTTTAAGCGACGTGAAAGCTCGTTAGAATGAAGAACATTGGCTAACTTTGATTGACCATATGCAGATAAAGCGTTGTACCTTTTTACAAACACAGTCAAAAGGATAAAAAGATAAAACGAGTCGAATAATGAGAAATTATGAATCGAATTTTGTAATTTACCCAGATTGGGTGTTGATATTGTCGAAGCGAATCCCTTCGCTGTAAGATAACTGGTGTCTACGTGATGAAACGTTAACAATTCTTCCTTCTTTTCTACTTTCAAGTGCAGTTTTTTTCATGGTTTCGAGTAGAAGATTTGTTAGATGAAAATGGCCGACATGATTGGTTGCGAATTGTAGTTCTATGTTGTCTGTGGATAGCATATATGGGGTTCCTAAGATTCCTGCGTTATTTCTGGGAAAACGGAATATAGACTAAAAAGTCTTAGAAATTAACAATTTGAATAGCATTACGATGGGGATTATTGATCTTACATGAGGAGATTGAGCGGAAGACCTGAGGATTTGAAAGCTGATGCGAAGTTGTTTACTGATGCTAAGGAACTGAGATCGAGCTCCATGGTATCGAGTTTGGCAGATGGGGTTTGTTTTAGGATTGCTTCTTTGACCTCTCTTCCTGCTGACGTATTCCTAACAGCCATAACTACATGGACTCCACGAAGTGCAAGAACCCGTGCAGTTTCAGTCCCGAGGCCACTTGAGGCTCCTGAAATAGCACCATGGAAGAATCATAACGAAAATGGAGTTCAGTGAGTACTTTCATCGAACACTTGGAAGGCAAAATTGGAACATTTTCAATTAAAGTGGAAGATGAGGCGAGTTACTTACCTGTAACAATGGCAGTGAGACCCGATCCATCAATTCCCTGGGTAACTTCCTCGGCCGTTGAGAATCTTGAGAACCCAGATGGCCCTTTTAATCCAAACATCGTTCTCTGGAAGAAATGAAGCATCTAATTTTCTAATACTCGATCCAAACAACTATATCCACGTTATCAAATACAAGTTTACTATAATTTTGCTATTAAATTTGTTACGAAATTTTGTGTTAGTTGCTAAATTTCGATTGCCTTTTCCAATATTTAATTGAGAATTGCAAACTCCATTGGCACTTAACATGCAGGTGGAGAATCTACAAGGCAAACAAAATGGATTTGATTATAGGGAAAATGATTTTAGTAAGGTAATTATGTTTTAAAATCTTTAAAAAAATATTATTAAAATTTGTTATTCTAGGTAAGATATGTGTACAAAAACACTAATGAATTATACATTTTGTTCAAATGTTATCTTATGGTAACCAACATTTTTTTTGTGAGGGGTAAAATATTACTGATAAAAATATAATCAAGGAAAAAAATATCTCACGAGGGTAACCATGTTTCAAAATCGTTTAAAAAACAACATTCAATATTTAAAAAATACAATCCACATAACATCTTTGTACAAAAACCTCCAACAAACTTATGTCCTGTTGAAATGTTGCCCACCGGTAACCATCTCCCTGTATTCATCGGTGAAATGACATAACAGTTAATGACATGACATTAATTTATATATTCCTCTTTTGTATATCGATTTAATGCTATTTCATAAACAAATGACTTCTTCTCTTATGATCACTTATTCTTCAACTAAGTCAATGATCTCCAACTCAAGCTCACATAATTCGAAGACACCAAAGATATTTGATGATGCAAATCCTTATATGGCTCTAGGCAACCATCTCAAATTTGCACATCAAACACGAAGACTAATCCTGACAAAAAATTCAGGGTTTGTCCCAACATAATGGTATGTCTAACCAAAAGTTTTATCATGTCATTCTCCTATATATTTTCTTGGTTATGTGATTCATTTTTTTGAATACGAAGACTAATCCTAGAAAAAAGTTAATGGTTTGTCCCAACCAAATAGAATTCGAGATTAAGTAAACTAACTCAACCTATTGCACATTAGGTTCCAAACTAAATGGCCATTACTTATGCCATTTTGCAATATGCACCGATAATTTTGAACAAATTATGCAAATAAAAAATAACATTTGGTTCCGATAAGTTCGAGGTTTTACCAGTAAGTTATAGGTTCCTTTAGTTGTATTTATTTAATGTTTTTTATTAAGTGAAATACAAAAGTCTGAAATGCGAAGTACTTATCTGGAATGTAGTATAAATTAATATGAAAAGCCTTATGTAGGTAGTTATTTGGCCTTAGTAACTCCCCAATACATTAAGTGAAATTTTATTAAGTGAAATACAATAGTCAGGACTCTGAAGAGATTGTCTAGAATGTAGTATGAATTCATATGCAATGCCTTGGGTAGGTAGTTATTTATCCTTAATGTGTAGAACACTCCATTTTGGAACGCCATAAAGAGTGTGGTAAACTCAATCGATCGTCATGTGAGGCTATCTTCCGACAAACATGTTTCGAAAGGTGGTAAGATATCCATTTTAGGTGGAAAGAGACCCTTTGCTTTTGCATGATACATTCTGCAGAGAGGTTACAAATCCTCAAAGTGTTGTAGATGAAATGATTTTTGAGATCGGGGACTTCGCTTTGACCTTTGGGAGGAAGGAATTCTACCTTGTCACTCACTTCCAGTTAGGTGATTTTTTCATAGCCTTAGATGTTTTAAATAGATGATTTGTTTTGCATTGATGTTCTAAATCAAGCCTTGTTGAACATTATAATTTGTGCTTTCAAATGATTTTGAATTTTTGTGCATTTAGGGGCTCCATGAAGTTATCCACCTCATCATGGCGTGGTTTAGTTTGGGTAGTCTCTGGTTCCGTTTGGTTCGGTTTTAATAATGAAAATGAGTATGCATTGTTCACAATTCTATTACTATCGAACCTCCAGGTGAACACCCATGTCCTTGCCCTTGGTTTGAGGGATTCTAAGAACTCAATATTATCATCTTACAATATCACATCTTAACTAAAATTGTCAAAGTAATAAGCACAACTTACACTTATCAATCGGCAAATATCACCGGTCGGCATGACAATTCACAACACCACCTTTGTCTACCTAAAACCACATGCCCCATCAAGTTAAAGGTCTTCTAATTAGTACCCTATATATACATCCTAATAAAATATGAAAATGTATCATATATATGTTTGCAAAAAAAGAACCTTAATTAATGTTTTCCTCATCGATCTTTATCTTTGATCTTCTTGGCATCAGAGTAGTATCTCTTGAAAGCTCGAGGAAGATAAAATGGCAATAGAAACCCAAACAGGTTAAAGCTCCAGTACATCATATTAGCAATCGCCAACACTCTTCCAATTAACAACCTTCTTCTACTACCATGGAAATGCTCATCATCCACCTTTGATATCTCACTTCTCACCCATGACATCACCGTATATATCCTTGTCGAATTATACACCACAGACACCAACGCCCTCATAGGCAAAGAAAACCCATCGGAAAATGCCACCCCCTCCAGAAACAATTGGCTAGCTAACAAGAATACATGTGGAGTTGCTGCTTTGATACCCTCTTTATCTCCTTCAAGAATTCCTTCAAATATGTATCCCACCGGAAGAAACAGCCCGATGACAGCTCCAAGGAAGCAGTAGAGGATGAGGAGGCTGTTGTTATCGTCAAAAACAGATTGGTTGTGGGCCGAAGAGAGGGTGGGAAATGCGACCTTGGACATGAAGTACATGTAGAAAGAGGAGAGGACTACGAAGCTGAAGTCTTCAATGGCGACCATGCCGGAGGCGGAGAGCACCACCACCAGGGCGAGGGAGTTGAGTTGTTGGAAGGAGAAGATGCGACGGAGGAAATTGGATTTTGTTTGCCTTCTGGAGCGTGGTGTTTTTTGTTCGCATTTTGTTTCTTCTCTAACTACGTCATCATTGTTGGGGCCAACCCCACCCGACATTTTTTTTCCGGCGGCTTTTCTTTGTGAAATTGTGAAGAATTTTATTAAAAATGGTGGATGTGACTTGTGAGACAAAAATGAGAGTTTTGGCGTGAGAAAGAGAGTGAAAAATGGGGTTTGTGAGGATGAGAGAGATTGAAGAATGAGGATGGGTGGAGGTGGCTGTGAAACCTTGAGTTATGGCTAAGTATTACACATGGCAAAGAGGAGTTGGAAGTAGGAGGTGACGTGTGAAATATTGTTGTTTGATTTTTGCTGACTGATTTAAATAATCTGACTGATTCATCTAGTACAAGTATATCAACCTAAATTTTGATGATATTTCATTATTCATATGCCTTAATATATATATATATATATATATATATATATATATATATATATATATATATATATATATATATATATATATATATATTCTTGTTTTCTTTCTATTCATATTTATATGAAATCTATTATTTCTTTTAATTTGGACATTTGGATTGATCAAATGAATAGAAAAATAGAAAAAAAAAAATTCTCTATGTATTATAATAAAATCACCTAAAGTTGTTAAAAACATTTTTAAGCTAAATCAAGTTATAAATACTAAAGAAAAACATTTTTAAGTTAAATCAAGTTACAAATACTAAAGAGGTTATTTTTTGTTAATCGTTTTACTGTTAATGTACGTTTAAGTTTTGACAAAATAACATATGATTTCTACTTACACCATTAGTTCATATTTTTCTTTTCCACTGTAGGTTTAATTTTTTGTTTACAATTTTGTCTGTATTTCCTTTATTAAGGGTTGCAAAACAAGCAACGTCAATAACAAAAACCAGTGTATATATCCTAAAATCTTTCAATCAAACGAAGTATATTTGAGATGGTTACTCAAAAAGGCAAACATACGCAAGTAATTGAATTGAAGAAAAAAAAAAGCTTACATATGTATTAAGTGGGATGTATATAAATATAATACACATAAAAAAACTTATGGACCTTAAGTAATCAGTTTATTGGGTTTTAATGACATTAACTATTAATGACTTTATAACCCTTAAGGTCACTATTGTAGTTTTGGTATTTCTTTTTGTATATGCTTCTATTTATAGAAGTTAGAAAATAAGAAATCAGGTGTTATTTTAGTACAAAACTCTTCAAATCGACGACATTTCATCGTTTATGTGTACTGTCGGTGGCACCTAACAAAATTAAACTAAAAATATCAACTACTTAATTAACCGTAATAAAACAAATGTTACATTTAAACATAGGTCAATGAGGGGGATTTTACTAATTTAATTTTAAAATACCTTACAAAAAGAATAGAATAACATGAATCATGTTCTTTTAATAATTGATTGATTTTATTAAAAAGCTGACAAGAAGGTAACACATAATTACAAAGAAATAAACATCAAAAGTTGTTAGAAAACCATAACGGCCAAGGAACCTTAATCTTCTTGTTCCTATTAGAAAACCACTCAAAGTTGTTAGAGTAATCTTATACACGATGCTATTCTTCGGGAACTTAAGATGTTGAAAACTAGCATTGTTTCTAAATCGCCACAACATCTAGATTGTAGCTAGTTAAAATGATAACCTCCGAATCTTTTTTCTTCAACTTGGTAAGTGTCACTTGGATATTTTAGGACCACTAATAACTGTATATAAATAATGTTATCATTAATTTTATATTATTATGGAAATTATATAAAATTGTTGATGGATCGATTTTATTATTAAATAAAGATATACACTTACCATGTTTATCTTGTGGGTTGAGTTCCCGGTTTGACTCAAGATCTCCTAAATCCCTAATATCTCTCACATTCGGTTATATCTCCATCTATATAAATATGTGATGAGAGCAGATTTACAACAATACGAAAATACATACACATGCAAATTCGTTTAGGGTTTGCTGTGGTATTTAGAGAGTGTTCTTGAGATTAACTGGAAAACCTAACCCTATTTCTTCAGATCTGAAGATCATAATAAATCAGGTATGTAATCGTTCTTTATTGTTTAAGTTTTCTTTTAACTAGATTCGAGATTAAAGATCCAAGATTATGTTTCTGCGTTTTATGTTTTGGTTATGAAAATAACCAACGATTGGTATCAGAGCCTACCTGAATCTGTTATTAGAATATACATTTGAATTGTTTACTGTTTAGGATATGAAAAATTTTGGGTTGGTTTTGGATCTGAACATTCAATCTAAAACATACATGAACATTCGATCTAAAACATACATGTTTATGTATATTTGGGTTATTTTTTTGTCAGCATCATATTACTTGAATGTGTATACATAAACATCTTTTATTCTGTTTCCTTTTAACATAAGGAGCAGGATTTCTATTTTTTTTATCCTTGTACTTGAAGCACTTGAAGCAGACAAATACACGGATTTACGCATGACAATTGATAATTGTTACAAGATGCATTGTTCTCTAATTGCTCTTTTTGTTTTCTTAAAGTCAAAGAACTACATACTTTTGTCTTTTGATTTGTCTATTGGTTTATATATTTGGGGCTCATTTTAGAATAATTATTATGGCTTTACAAGTAAAGATTTAATTATTTGGTTTATTTATAGACGATTTGATTATATCAAATGTTTTATTTATTTTGAGCAATTATATGTTATACATATCTTTCAAATTTGAAAGTTATCCTTGAGATAATTAAGGAAGATTAGCTTGAACTGCAACGTATCCTAAGTCATTAGCTCCATAATGTTAATTTGAAGCGAAAAAGGAAGATTTGATCGACTTTCAATCGAACCCCAAACTTGAACTGCAACGTTACAAACATGAAAACATGATTTAAATCTTCTTGATTATTACCACGTGAACGACACAAGGAGGGGGCATCAGTTTCATGGTTGACCAAATTAGCTTGAGTCGAGATTCCATTAAGTAAGATTCTCCACGACTCTTAAAACTTTTATAAGATATATGCTCTTTCACTTGTTTTTTTACAACTCGCCATATTCATGTTTAAATATTTATTTTCATCAAAACCATCATTTTCCAAACTAGGAGTTATGACATTTACTTTAATAAAAATAAATCTGAATTTCATTTAATAAGATTATACCTTCAATGAGTGTCATTTTATCACAAATTCATTTATTTCAATCTTCCTTTTTATATTACACAATTACACATACATCTATACTTCTTATCTGGGTATTCAACTCTTTATAAATCATTTTTATTACATCAATCTCATAACTATGTTATAAATCTCTTTTATTGAAAAAGAAAAAAAAAAAAAAAACTTCACATACTTTTGTTTTATAAAACTAAAAAGATTGCAATTTTTCATATTTTTTTCTGTCATTTTCAAATTTCAACAACATTACTTAGCACATTATCTCATTTATTAGACCTTTTTTCTGGAGTTTCTATATAAAAACCCTAAGGTCACATGATAAGATTTAAACTTATAAATATATGAAGTCCTAGTGATAAACTACACCATCATCTATTACCGAGAAATGGGTTAATTCAAACTTTATTAATATTCTTTTCTTAGCCTAATCTCATATAATAACAAGAGTATAAACTTGATTACCCTCGTATATATATACTTCTTAAAGTTTAGATTTATATCACAGTCACAGGGTCGAAAAAGATTACGTCATTTGAGAATAAACATTATAACGGTATCACAAGGACAAGAAATCAGAAGCTCGTGAATCATTTGGAACATATTTTACAACATCAACAATACCAAGTAGATTAGGCACCAAAAGTCACTCGAATTGTACGTTATGGTTGTCACAGAAAGAGCCATAATATGGAAAAACGACATGAAGAAAAACTTGTGAATCAAGACGGTAGATATTTACTTCAAAATATCTTATAACGAACAAAATCTTTAGTTGTTTCTCCTATGCTTTTGAATTTGGTACTTCCCACTCTTCCTTGAAAAATAACCAATGGCACCAAATCCATGTCAATTACTTATTTAGGTTATGTACTTTCAATGCATAGCTCACTTATACCAATTAAAACCCCCCTCGCTAGGGTAATTTTAAAAAGAATTATAAATCATTGATTTATATCAAAAACGTTATGATCCCAACTTATGCAGAAAATATAGTCCTAA